CGGAGCGGGGCGGAGGCTCGCGGGACCCGGTGCGCTTCGCTGCGCTCGCCCGGAGCAGGGAGGCCTGGAGCGGAGAGCGGGCGTGCCTCCTGGGCGCAGGCTCCAGCAGAGATGGGCCTCCGGACAGCGCAGCCTCGGGTGGCACAGACAGGGGCCGACTTCACTCCGCAGCACCTCTAGCTGCGACCCCACAGACACCTTTGTTCCCGGGAGTCTTCCTTATGTTTCCGAGCCAAGCTCTTCTCCATTCATGGAGTGAAAAAGCAAGACCTCTAAACGGCTTTAGAAATGGGCTTGCTCGTGGTGGAAAGGAGGGTCCCTGCTTGACCGTGGTCGGTTGAGCCCACGTTTTTATTAATTCTTGTATCTAAAGTTTTTATGGTCAAAGGCCCAAGGCTTCACACACACACACACACACACACACACACACACACGTAGTGTCCCCAGCTCTAAATCACCAACATAGATGCAGTTTTCCCTGTGTAAAAAGTATCTCCCTGCGCTTTCATCCCAGATGCTGGTTTCCCCGGGTGGGCTTCACTCCCGTGAAGCATCCAAGTGTTCGAGGGTGATCAGCTGAGGCTTTTCTCTGTGCATGGTAAGCCTGGAATTCAGCTTCAGAGGATGCTACTGGACACCCTAGGGACCCTCTTTCAACTGGAGACAGCTTTGGGAGGTGCAAAAAGGACAGGCGCAGGTGCTGCCCAGGCCTCTGGCCTGGTATTTGATTGACCCTCACTGGCCTCTAGGTAATCTTGAAGGGGAAACCTGTGGAGCTGGACAGTTAGAAGGAGCTCAGTAAACGTTTCCAGAATGCTTGTGTCTGGGCTCGCTTTCCTTTTCTGAACCCGAATCTTACGGGAAGGATGAGGGTGGGATTGGTATTGGGTCTGTGAAGAACTATCTCTTTTTTTGTTCCTGAATACCCTTGACTTGTATGTGTTGTTAGTCTCTGAACCAGAAGAATTCTTGACAACATCAAATCGCTTCAGTGTCCCAAGTAACTGGGTTAATGTCTTAGGGAAGTGTCTGAAGGAGGGGAGATGAGGAGTCCCCTCGGCAAGAATAGGTTGACCTTTATCAGATTCCTGGAACTCTCTGTGACTTGTATTCTTGGGGTTGGGCGGTGCTTGCCTCAGAACCTCTGGTCTGCAGTCAACAGTGGCCATTCTCACGTGCAGTGGACACATACGCCATCTTAGAGAGTACATGTGGCTGTGTGGCCAACAACTAAAGGCAGGCCCTGTTACACTGATGGTTCTTGATCTTGAGGAAGAAAACCTGGGTCTGAGGTACCCAGGGCAGTCTAGAATCGTGCCTAGCAGAAAGGGCTGGAACCTGAAGTCATCACAGCCTTGATGATCATTCTTCAGGAATAAGAAGGGTGGTTACCAAGCAAGGCAGGTGGAGGACCCACTCCGCGCTTTGCGCTTAGAGAAGCTGGTTAGCAGCCCAGGCTGGCCGCCTAAAAAGATGGGAGCTCGGTCAGCCATGCCCCCTCTTCTCCACCATCCTGTCTGTTCCTTCACTGAGAGGGAGCAAGCTCACTGTACTTGGTGGAACAGTTCCCTTTTCTGCATTGAGGGCTTATCTTGGCAATTATAACATCACCAATGATGCAACAGCCTGCAAATTAAAGCCCTTTGTGAAAGGCTGCACACTGGTTGAGCAAGGCCCCTGACTCACTCCCGCCAGTGGAGTTTTCTAGCTGACCTTGCCGTGGTCATCAGTGGGTTCCGAGATGCAGGTCTAATTGAAGCGTGGGCTGGAAAGGCGCGGTCAGAGTGCTCAGCGTTATTTTTACCCAGCTTAAAAATCACACATGCCTCATTATTTCCATTGTAACCCAGATGGCATTGGGGCTGTTAAAAGTTGTTTATTTTTAATTTGTATTGAGGAATGAGAGCACGCTTGGGATTCAAGTCAAACATAACAAACAATGTCATTGAGATTTCCTATAACGCTCCCTTCTTGTTTTCGCCAGGTATGCCTGCGTTTCACAGGGTGAGCACATTGTTTGATATCCTGTTATTTTTCTAAATTTTATTTGAGTTGATTTTTATCCAGATTGGACTCACAGTGAATGTCGAAAGACCCTGACCTTTGATCACAGTTACATAAGAGTTTTTTTTTTTCAGTTTCAAAATGAGTTTTTATTGCCACCACCCCCACTCACCTCTCACGTTTCTTTGCAACTAATTTTCCCATTGTTATGAAGGGGGAGGATTTTCTTTCTCGTATGGCTTTAATTAGAGTTTGAGCTTGTTTTTTAAGTTTAGTGGGGATTTAAGAGATGCCATTCGTTAATAATCCAGGCTTTGAGGACGTGGTTTCACTGGAGTTTGGGTGTTTATAAGCCTTTCAATTATCAGAACACGGTGTATTTTATTAACTTTCTAGGGATCTTAAATGTAATTAAGTAGCCTTCAAATAAACCTTCCGCTTTAGTCATAAGGCACACGGCACAATAAATGACACTCACCAGCATGTGCTATTAAGAAAGAGAACAAGAACGTTAAAGTCCAGGCTAGGGAGGCTGGAAACACTCAAGAACTCTTTCTGCCAAGCCCCGACCCCGGCATGCTTCTTTTTTTGTAACTGGTGTTGTTTTGTTTTTTGGCCACTGTGCTGTAAACCAATTGACTGTGATGTTGGTGTCCCTAAGACTTAAGGGAGACTGGGGTCATAGCTCAGTTGGCAGTGTTTGCTGTGCATTCCCAACTCCATAGGTCCTCTCTCCAGCACCCCTAGCCCATTGTCACCATGTGCACCTCTAATTCCAACACTTATGCAGTGGAGGCAGGAGGACCAGAAGCTCATGGTCATAGCAAGACTCCAAGGGAGTTACTAAATTGATCAATTGTCTTTTCAAAAACGTCACAGATGGGAGCTAGAGAGATGTCTCAGTGGTTAAGAGCCCTTGTTACTCTTCCAGAGGACCTGAATTTGGTTCTGAGGCCTAACAACTGACTGTAACTCCCGCTTCAGGGGATCCAACACCCTCTTTTGACCTCCACAGACCACAAGTGGCAGACACTCATACAATCAAATGCATAAATAAAACAATAAATCCTTTTTAAAATACTTTTTTTTGGGGGGGGGGTTGAGACAGTGTTTTTCTGTAGCTTTTGTGCCTGTGTTGGAACTTGTAGACCAGGCTGGCCTCGAACTCCCAGAGATCCACCTGCCTCTACCTCCCGAGTGCTGAGGTTAAAGGCATGCGCCATCCTGCCCGGCCCTTTGTAAAATCTTTTTTCATGGGTAGTAATGATTCCCATTTTGAGGCATCTCTATTTAGATTGAAAAAAAAAAAGCACATTTCTGTATACACCCACAACTCACACACTCTCAGTCCCCCTCTCTCTCCTCATGGGCACCATTTTCTCAAGCTGTGGAGTTGTTTTAAGGGGTGGCCCTATGTGTCCTGCTTGTGTCCATCTTGTGTTACAAACACTTGCTCCTGTGGAGACTGCCAGTCACACTGGTTCATATTTCAGTCAGCAAAGTAGATGGATGCATTAATAAAATGCAGGGCCGTCATCCGATTTATTAAGTTTAAATCTAATTTTCACATAATCCCCTGTTGGACTTGGAATCCGTTCCTTTCCTGTAAGCTGGATCGGGTTTTGACACATTTGTTCACGGACGCATCCAAACAGAAAAAGTGGGTCAGTTTGTTGCCAGGATAGGGCTAATCTGGCAGCGTAAGAGATGGCTCATGGGTATGTGCCCACGTGTGCACCAAGCACGTGTTTCTCCTAGGCCTGCCTGTACTTTGGACTGCTAAGTGACTGCAGGCCCTGAGCTGGGCACTCGGGAACTAGAGTGTTTTGTTCTCGATGGAAAACATCAGTGGATTAAAGTGCTCCTGCGCAAACCAGATGACCTGAATTCAGTCTCCAGGTCCCACTGTGGAAGGAGAAGACCAGTTTCAAAAGCTGACCTCTGACCTCTCCATGCATGCCCACACAATAATAATAAATAAAGTAAATAAAAATAAAAGGCCCTTTCCCCTAAACGTATACCTAAGGAGGCTAAATTCACTTTCCAGAAATGTCACAGGTAGAGGCTGGAGAGAAGGCACAGGGTTCAGGGTTCTTGCTGGTTTTGCTAAGAATGAGTGTCTTCAGTTCCCAGGACCACATTGGGCAGCTCCCAGCCAGCCTCCTCGTCGTGGATTTTGATGTCTACCCGAGGAAGATGCTCAGTGCTGGTGCAGAGTGCTCACCACTCTGCTCATTTCTGTTTCTGTAGAGTCTGCACTGCTACACTGACCTCAGAGGTCAGAGGTCAGAGCAGCACATGCTTTTCTGTTATTACCACAGGGAAACCCTTGTGGGGTAAACTGTCTAAAATTTATGTTGTCGACTGGATTCTTTTGCGGGCTTTTCTTAGGTCAGGTCTTATTTTAATTGCAGAGAGTATTTAGGTCATCTGACTTAAATAAACTCCAAGGATCTGCGCTTATGAAATACAGCTCCTGCCTGTAGCAGGTTATAAAAAAGCGTGCGGTGGCAGCGGTGGTGTCTTCACAGTAGGCGTGGGAAAGTATGTCAGCTGGCATGACGCGATGCCTGCTCTTCAATTTCTCTTTTTTATTTGTGTCTTTAAGCAGTCCTATCAGCTAATGGCTGTAATGGAGTTAATGGTGCTAACAGAGGTAACATCATGGAATCGGCATCTCATGGCAGTTATTCACCAAAAAAGAAACACAAATGGTGACTAAGGTACCCCAGCCGTCGGTGTGGATTTCAAACAGTGACACATGGGTGAAGTCATGGTGGGATTAGTCATAAAGAGAGATCCTGGGATCTGAGGCAGTCATCATGAGTGCTGAGGGTTTTAGAAGGGTAGCCTCCACTGTGCTGAGGAGGTGGCTTTATGGGTAAAGCTCCTGCCATTGAGTATGTGAGGACCTGGACTGGGGAGACAGAGACGGGCAGATCCTGGGAGCTTGCTAGGCAGCCCATCTGTAGAAACAGGACTCTCTAGGTCTGCTGGGAGACTCAGCTTAAAACTAAACAAAACAAAAGCAGACAGGTAAAAAAGGCAAGATCCCAGAGTTAGCCTCCAGCCTTCACACACACACACCCCTGCACTTCCTGCATATTATACTAACAAGAAAAAGATGTTGTCAGCTACATTTGCCTGCATCCGTTGTTGAGGATCACAGACCCCCGAGTCGTCTCTGCTTTTAACTGCTTGTGATCTGCAGCTGGTGGCTCAGTCTTTCTCTCTTTTAGTTTGTTGGCGCTGTGTGCTGGCCAGTTTCGTGTCAACTTCAAGCCGGCTAGAGTCACTGAAGAGGAAGGAGCTTCAGTTGTAAGACTGGGCTGTAGGCAAACCTAGAGAACATTCTCTTAGTTAGTGATTGGTGGGGGGAGGGCCCAGCCCATTGTGGGTGGGACCACCCCAGGCAAGTGGTCCTGGGTTCTATAAGAAAGCAGGCCTTGCTTGCCATGAGGAGCAAGCCAGTAAGTAGCATCCCTCCATGGCCTCTGCATGAGCTCGCGCCTCCAGGTTCCTACCCTGCTTGAGTTCCTGTCTTGACTTCCTATGATGATGAACAGTGATGTGGAAGTGTAAACCAAGTAAACCCTTTCCTCCCCAAGTTGCTTTGGCTATGGTGTTTCATCACAGCAATAGAAACTCTAAGACTCTCTACAGAGTCATTGGATTAGAGAAATGTTCATCCCTTGTTGAAATAGATGCATTTTTGGTTTTGTTTATGACACTGGGGCTGGAGAGTTGGCTCAGCAGTTAAGAGCACTTGGTGTTCTTACAGAGGACCTAGGTTCAATTCCCAGCAGCCACATAGTGCCTCATGACCATCTGTGAATTCAGTTCTGGGGATCTGATGCCCTCTGACCTCCAAGGGTACCAGCTAGGCAAAATATTCATACAAATATAATACTTTTTTAAAGATAGTAATAGGGGAGTTGGAGAGATAGCTCAGCAGTTAAGAGCACTGACAGCTCTTCCAGAGGCCCTGAATTCAATTCCCAGCAACCACATAGTGGCTTACAACCATCTATAATGGGATCTGATGCTCTCTTCTGGCATGCAGGTGTACATGCAGATAGAGCACTCATACACATAAAATAATTCTTTAAGCAGGGTGGTGGTGGCTCATGCCTTTAACCCCCAGCACTTGGGAGGCAGACGCAAGAGGAGCTTTGTGAGTTTGAGGTCAAACATTATCTGTCTACATAGTGAGTTCCAGGACAGCCAAAGCTATACAGAGAAACCCTGTCTTGAAAAACAACAACAACAAAATAATAATAAGGGCTAGATAGATAACTCATCGCTTAAGAGTGCGCACTGTTCTTGCAGGGGACCAGAGTTTGGTTCTCAGCACACGGTGACAGCTCATAAACTCTTGTAGCTCCAGCTCTAAGGGGACCGGAAGCCTCTGGCTTTTGCAGGCACTGGTACTCATGCACATGGAAACACACATAAATAACACAAATAAACATTTCTTCCCCCCCGCCCCGGTTTTTCAAGACAAGGTTTCTCTGTGCAGCTTTGGCTGTCCCAGAACGCACACTAGACCAGGCAGGCCTCAAACTCAAAGAGATCCACCTGCCTCTGTCTCCCTGAGAGCTGGGATCAAAGGCGTGCGCCACCACTTCCTGGCTCTATTCTTTTATTAAAGATAAAGTAATGACATTAAGGAGGGTGGAACAAGTGTACTGACACCGAGAGGCTGAGACAGGATGATCAAAATTCAAGGCCAATAGCTGTGAGTCTTTTTCACAATTTCAACAGATAGGATTCAGGAGATTAAAGTCTGACTATGGAACAGCTCAGGCTGATTGAAGGCAGCTCTAGGCAGTTCTTTATGATGCAACCAACTTGTGGGATGAGCCCCAGATCCGTGGTGCCTTCCTTTCCCGAGAGGAGATTTATAACTAGTTGTGTGAGGCTCCAAACTAAGAGAGATGAAGGGAGGCTGTGTGTCTGGTATTGAAAGGTGGCGTGTAAGGAGGATCCGTGAGGGTCAGAGCCAGGGTCTGACTGGCTTGGGGTCTCAGGTTGGTCATCACCTGGGTGGCAGATCACTAGGCATGCCCCTTGCCTCTGTGAGCTATGTTTTCTCCTCTGAAGATGCTGAAAGGGCAGGTGATACCCCCAGTGCTAAGGACTTAAAAGCAAGTGCTGCGTAAATGACTTCCGTGCTGAATGGAGGCAGCAGGGCCAGCACTTCAGATCCCATCGTGACTGAAGCCCACGCATGGGTCTCAGTTCTGTCAGTCCTCTTCAGTGTGGCCCCCACCCTGCCTACAAACCTGCATTCTTAAGGGCTTGGTTCCCCGTTCTGAGAACCTTCAGTCTAGCTTGGTGCCCAGTGTACAGGTGTTTCCTGTATGGCTACCAGGTAATTCCAAAGGTAGGTGTGAGTGCATCTACTGGTACGTGTGTGTGTGTGTGTGTGTGTGTGTGTGTGTGTGTGTGTGTGTGTGTACGTATATGGTATATATGGAGACCAGAGGACAACCTCCAATGTTATGCCTCAGAATTCTATCCACTTTGGCTTTTGCGACATGGCCTATCACAGACCTGGAGTTCACCTAGTAGGCTAGGCTGACTGGCCAGGGAGTGAACCCCAGGGAATCCTCCTGCCTCTACATCCCGACCATTGGAATTGCAATCCCTGCTGCCTTGCCCAGCTTTCTTCATAGGTTCTGGGGATTGAACTCAGGTCCTCAGGCTTGCAAGTCAAGGACTTTACCGTCTGAGTCCTCTCCCCACCTGTGGGCTGATTTTTGTTGAACAGAACCAGTTACATGTTCAACTTTGCCTTGGTGGCCTGCCATGGTGCGCTCTCTCTCTCTCTCTCTCTCTCTCTCTCTCTCTCTCTCTCTCTCTCACACACACACACACACACACACACACACACCACATACACATTCATTCTCTCTGTCTCTTTCTCTCTCTCCCAACCAGATCGATACATACACATGGTGCACATTTTCAGGGCAGGAAGGTGCAAAGATGTGTCTGAGCTCAGCTGTGAAGAGAAATTGTGAGACCCCCTAGGGAGAGTAACTCACAGATGGTGGGGTGTGTGAATGAAATATAACGTATATTTTAAGGAAGAACTGAGATAAGTAAGTACGTGGAGGAAAATAGTAGCACATCAAGGAAAAAATACCCCAAAAAAGTAGCGTGGAAGGGACCGTGTGGTGTTTAAGAACCCGTGACTGTGGTGGAGAAAGGCCAAGGTCAGCATCCTTCCTCGACTTCTGTTTCTTCTCCGAGCTTTCCCACGGGCTCAGTTCACTTTAGGGGTGAGGACCCACCCTAGTGGCTGCATGCCTGCCGCAGCATGAGGAGTGTGCCTGCACTGTGCAGAGGGAAGTGTTTGCAGATTGAAAGGCAAGGATGTATGGAGGTGATAGGAGATCATGTCTTTTTACTAAAGGATGAAAAGCTGTCTTTTGGCCTTTGAAGTGGTGCCTATTACCGTGTCGTTGTCACCAAGCACACAGAAGCCTGCTCTTAATAACCCTTGGGCTTCCTCAAGTAGGGGAGCTGCTCCCTGTGTGGTAGTAGCCCACTTTGATGGACAGAGCCTTGTGTGACACCCCAGTCTTTATGACCTTGACATTCTTGCTGCCGCAGAAATGACAGAAGCAACAGGCAGGCTTCTGGGAGTGAGAGAGCTGAGGAAATGGCTTGGTTCTTGTGGCATTTGCCACACCAGCGTGGAGACCTGATTCCCAGAACCCATATAAAAAGCAGCTGGGCATCATGGTGCTCAGTGGATGGTTCAGGCGATGGGGAGCTAGAGACAGGAGGATCCCTGTAGCTCACTGGTTGGCCAGCCTAGCCTACAAGGCAAGTTCTAGGCTGGTGAGAGACTCTGCCAGAGGAACAAAGAGAACAGAGCCTGAGGAATGGCCCCTGAGGTTGTCCTCTGGCCTGCAGTTGGCAGCACGCTGGTGGAGACGCACAAAGAGCAAGAAACACTGACGTGAAGTGAAAACACACACTGTCACGTGTCAGGATGAGCAACACCTTGAAGGGTACAACAGGGGAATGGTGTGTGCAGGTTGCGTGTGCACCTTTGCTTTGTGGAGTTGGCATAGGACCCAAAGGCACCATGAGAGAGAGTCATTGGCGTATAATAAGGGTTTATTATCTTGTAGCAAAGCCTGGACTAGAATGCTTACCTAGCACCCCCCTGGGCTCCATCCTCAGCACACACACACACACACACACACACACACACGCACGCACGGTGAAACCCAATTCATGTTATAAATAGTTTACTCATGGGTGTGAAAAACAGTTGATTCTATTTTTTGGTTCTTATATTTTATTTGAAACTAATTAGCAAGATTGAAAGAAGTTCTTTCCATAATTATATTCTCTAGTTTTGAAGTAATCGTAACTTTCAAGAGGGCTCTTAGAAAAAAAGTCCCTCTGAATAGTCAGTGTTGTAGTCCACAGGGAATATGTAACTGAAGTCTAGCAAGCTAAGGTTTTAGGACCCCAAAAAGCACTGTGGCTATCAGTCTTAAAAAGTCTGCTCAGTGAGCCTGAAGGGGCTTTGTAGTTCAAATCATCTAACTATGGGCATTTCGTATAAGTGTAGCATCTTGATGGTGAGGCCAGAGGCGTCTCCAGGGGAGACTGGGGACCACTACACCCTCCGATGTGAGATAGCAGGTAACAGAGTTAGGGAGTTTACGTAGCCTGTTATCTGCTGTCATTCAGAAGCAGGGTAGCGGGTTCTGGTTAGCACCTCACCACTGATGGGCTGTCTGTCATTTCCTCCCTCTAATGAATCATCCTGAATACGACACTTGGCCTTGCATCTCTGTGAAACAGCTTTCTTCTATGGAATCCGGAGCAGAGGAGAGGGAGGAGGAAGGAATGAGTGGATGGATGGATACCTGGGATTAGAGGGAGGGATTAGATGGATACAAGGGTGGGTAAATGGAAGGAGGGAGGGATGGGAATGGAGGGATGGTTGGCTGTGTGACAGATTTAGTGACTGGGTGAGTAAGTGAGTGACTGAGTGACTAACTCATTTCCTCACACTCCTGAACCACACAGTCCTCTGCCAAGATGTTCTTTGCCACCAGAGTGGACGTGTGTGTGTATTCACAGCTTTTTTCCAGCTCGCTCACTCTTTAGAGACCTGAACCGCATTGGAGCCCATACCCCCTGACTGCCCACTCAGCACAGCCCCCTTCCAGCTGCTGTCACACATCTGCCCCAGGGACTCACCATGTTCTCCTTCATTGCAGATACCCAATACGGCCTCGGTCCGCTTCAGAGAGGCACCTGGCAGATTTATCCTGGACTGGACAGCAGAAGGACTATTGATGGATGAGAAGCCGAAGGTTTTCAGACCTGAAAGTATACTGGGAAAGTGATTTGTTCTCCCACAGTGGGTCTGTCGGGTACGGTCCTTTCTGATGCAGCTGAGAAAAATGCAGACCATCAAAAAGGAGCCAGCCCCTCTGGATCCTCCCAGCAGCTCAGACAAGATGATGGTGCTGAACTCTGCCTTAGCCGAGGTGGCGGAGGACCTCGCCTCCGGTGAAGATCTGCTCCTGAATGAAGGGAGCGTGGGGAAGAACAAATCTTCCGCGTGTCGGAGAAAACGGGAATTCATTCCCGACGAGAAGAAAGATGCCATGTATTGGGAGAAAAGGAGGAAGAACAACGAAGCTGCCAAAAGGTCTCGGGAGAAGCGCCGGCTCAATGACCTGGTTCTGGAGAACAAGCTGATTGCCCTGGGAGAAGAAAATGCCACTTTAAAAGCCGAGCTGCTCTCTCTCAAATTAAAGTTTGGTTTAATTAGCTCCACGGCGTATGCCCAAGAAATCCAGAAACTCAGTAATTCCACAGCTGTGTACTTTCAGGACTACCAGACGTCCAAGGCCGCCGTGAGCTCATTTGTGGATGAGCATGAACCAGCAATGGTAGCCGGGAGCTGCATCTCAGTCATCAAACACTCTCCTCAGAGCTCTCTGTCTGATGTGTCTGAGGTGTCCTCTGTGGAGCACACGCAGGAAAGTCCCGCTCAGGGAGGCTGCCGGAGCCCTGAGAGCAAGTTCCCAGTGATCAAGCAGGAGCCAGTGGAGCTGGAGAGCTTTGCCAGGGAGTCCAGGGAGGAGCGGGGTGCCTATTCCACCTCCATCTACCAAAGTTACATGGGCAGCTCCTTCTCCACCTACTCCCACTCCCCACCCCTCCTGCAGGTCCACGGGTCCACCAGCAACTCCCCGAGAACCTCAGAGGCCGATGAGGGTGTTGTGGGCAAGTCCTCGGATGGGGAAGACGAGCAGCAAGTCCCCAAGGGCCCCATTCATTCTCCGGTGGAGCTTCAGCGGGTGCACGCCACTGTGGTGAAGGTTCCAGAAGTGAACCCTTCTGCCTTGCCCCACAAGCTCCGAATCAAAGCCAAGGCCATGCAGATCAAAGTGGAGGCTTTGGACAGCGAGTTTGAAGGCATGCAGAAACTCTCTTCCCCAGCTGATGTCATGGCCAAAAGACACTTTGACCTGGAGAAGCATGGCACCCCGGGTATGGTCCATTCCTCCCTCCCTCCTTTCTCAGTGCAGGTGACGAACATTCAAGATTGGTCCCTCAAATCGGAACCCTGGCATCACAAAGAACTGAATGGCAAAACTCAGAGTAGCTTCAAAACGGGCGTGGTGGCAGTCAAAGACGGTGGTTATAAGGTTTCTGAGGCTGAGAATTTGTATTTGAAGCAGGGGATGGCAAACTTATCCACAGAGGTGGTCTCGCTCAAAAGATTCATAGCCACACAACCTATCTCAGCCTCGGACTCCAGGTAAATGACTACTGACTGAGCTGTGGATGGAGGAGGAGGAGGAGGAGGAGGAGGAGGAGGAGGAGGAGGAGGAGGAGGATGCTGTTGGTGCCATGCCGAATTTCCACTGGACCTCTGCTGTCATGTCACTGTACTGTGCACACGGTGTCCGTCTGGTGTCCTTGTGTGCACACGCTGAAGACTTGATGTCCTCACTCTGCCTGATGTATAGTCAGATAGCCCCCACAGAGGCTGTACATAGCGAACGTTATTTTTGCTCTATTATAAAGTGTGTATGTTGCCAGTTTCAATAAAGGATTGGTGACAAACACAGCCCGGGCTCCATTCCACTTGGTCTAATGGAAAGAGAGAAAAGGTTGCAGAAGTTTCTTAAGGTAGGGACTGGGGAGATGGATGTCTCAGTGGGGTAAGTTGCTTCCCACGCAACCAAGAGGACCTGGTTTTGGTTCCTGCCATCTAAAAGGCCCGCTGTACTGCACACACACCCACAACCCTAGAGAAGCAGGGACAGTTGGGGACACAGCACACAGAAAGATCCCTAGGGCTCTCTCACCAGAGAGTCTAGCCTAACTGGCAAGTTCCAGGCTCAGTGAGAGACCCTGAATCAAAAACTAAGGTAGGGAGTGGTGGAGGAAGACTCCAGACATCAACCTGTGACCCTTGACCTGACACCCACTCCCAAACATGCACACACGAAAGTTAGCAAGGTACAACCCGATATTCTGCCTTCCACTTAATGTGGAGTGGTGGCTTCCCCAGAGTGAGAGAAAAACCAAAATATTAATTTTCCAGTTTTCTAAGCAATAGTGTGTTCAGAAACCTTCTAAGAAAAGGGATAGCAAGGGACAGGGAATAAACGGGACTGTACAGCCCAGGGAAGAGAGAGGTGTAGACACAGTGAGTGCTCCCGTACGGGGGATCTGGGTTACCAAATTATTCCCATTAGGTAGGTTTCTTTAGGACCGAGTTTTCTCTAACTTTCTTAAGTGGAAGGCTCCAGGCAGTTTGCTGCCGGCATCTCCGTAGTCACCGCCGCATACTGCGTGGCACATGGTTTGGTGACTGAGCACCGACCCACCTTCCTGGCTGAAATACCATTGTTAAAAGCGAATAAAGACAGGACGAAGAAGGTGGGTTTTGCTTTTCATTATTACTATTTTTTTTTTAACATTACCCCAAAGCGTCACAGTTCTAGAGTGTGGCCATCCAGGGAAAAATAGCAAAATACCATTTAGGTGTCATTAAAGGAATTTCTGAGACCCCATCAGTTACCACACACCAACATCTATGTAATATAGGTCTATCAGTGCCTTGTTAAAAGACTCCATTATGGGCTCGAGATAGAGTTCCATGGCAGAGCACTGGCCTAGCACATGTGAGGCCGTAGGCTCCACCCCCATCACCTGGTGAGGGGAGCTCTGTTAATGAAAACTGTTAGTAATGCCTCTTCTCTATCTTTAGATATTAGAAATGATAACACACAGGTCCCAGCAAATAGAGAAAAAAAAAAAAACAAAAAAACAGGCCTGGTTATTTGTCTGGAATTCTCCACTGTCCCAAGAAGCAAGTGTCATGAGACTCACACACCATGGGCTCCCGCAGTATGGTGGTTGGTGTCCTGAGTCCCTCAGGTGGAGTGGGTGGGTGGGTGGTACACAGTGCTCCCCGTAGGTCACTCATCACCCAAGGGCCCTCTGCATACTCGTCTTTCCGTGCTGGGTATGGAGAGCCATTGCCCTGTGACTCGGCCTCTCTCTCTGCCTGTGCTGCACAGACAGCCGCAGTGCCTGGAGGCAGAGCAGGCCCAGCAGTGGATCCTGATTGAGTCTTTTTTGACTCTCCATATCCAGTACAGGCCTGGCGCTCGTTCTAGGCTATGTTCTCTGCATTGGCATAGTTTACACTGTGGTGCTTTGTGCTCAAGGGACCGCCTGTCTCACACAGACACACATACCCAGGCCACCTACTTTATCCTTTAGCTGTGGCCTCCACTTCTATCCAGGTTCTTCCAGTCTTTACTTGGCTGTCCTGGAACTCACTCTGTAGACCTGGCTGGCCTTGAACTCACAGAGATCCGCTTGCCTCTGCGTTGTGAGTGCTGGGATTTAAGGGTGCACCACCACCCAGCTTTCTCTCAGTCGTCTTACAGGCTGAGTTGAGGCCTGAGGTAGAGATGCCCACAAATGCTGTAAAGCAAAGAAGCAGGTCTAAGAGACAGAACAGTCAAAATACTTTAGCAACCCGGAATGGGCAGGATGAATCACCCAACATGAGCGGTGGTAGAAACAGGATGTAGAGTTTTCCTATGTGGGAAGGCGTAGTCAGCGTTGGGCTCATAGTATGGCAGGCAGTACAGTACTGAGCTCAGATGTGCAAGGCCTTGGATTCAGTTCTTAGCACTACACAGCAACAGTCACAATAAGGGAAAAAAAACCCAAATAGTTACAATAAGGAGAGGGGAATTCCTTCAAGCTTGCTGAGTCAGAGCCCTGTGAAAGAATAGGTAGTGTCTGTGTCGGCACATCCAGTCGTTCCCTGTCTCTGCAGATGCACGCAGTGGGGCAAGAGAAAACACGGCCAATGGTCATGCTCCCCTGAACCAGCCCAATCTTGTCCAGAAAGCTAAGCAGGGTTGGGCCTGGTTAGGACTTGGATGGGAAAAACGTTGTGTAGTGGCTGGAAAGATGGCCCAGCTGTTAAGCTTGCTTGTTTAGTTACTCCTCCAGAGGACTCCAGTTTAGTTCTCAGCACCTACATTGGGCTGCTCACAACCACCTGTAACTCCAACTCCAAGAGATCCAGCACGTGCACGCAGGCACGCGCACGCACGTGCACACACATACACACACAAATATAAATCAATATTAAAACATGGTCATTCCTCCCAAGATGTGGGCAGCAATGTCTCCCAGATCCGCTGTAAGATGTGACCCTTCACTGGGGATGCCACCCCCCCCCCCCCGTTATTTTAGCTCTCCTCTTGGTGTCACTTGGCCTTAGCATTTCAAGACCCTACATTATCTTTGAGGGGATGACGAGACTGTTAGGCCTTGAAAACAGGAGGAGCGTCATCGCCATGTGAAGAGCCAAAGAGATCGCACAATAGAGTCAATCACTTCTGGTAACAGAAATCCCTGTTGTCCCCGCCTCCTGCCCAGAGATCCCCAGAATGATGGAAAATGGGGCTGGAGAGGTAGCTTAGTTGGTCAAGGGCTACTATGTAAGCATGAAGACCTAAATTTAATCCCTGGAATCCACATAAAAAGCCAGATGTGAGGCCAGCCATGGTGGCATATGCCTTTAATCCTAGACTTGGGAGGTAGAGGAAGGTGAATCGCTATGAGTTCAAGGCCAGCCTGATCTACATAGTGACCTCCAGAACATCTAGGGCTACATAGAAAGATTGTTTCAGGAAAAAAAAAGAAAAGCCAGATGTGGCGGTCCAAGCTTGTAATCTCGAAGTCAGTGGGGTGAAGACAGGAAGACCTCCGGGACTCACTGGCCTGCCAGCCTGGCCTAAGAGGTGACTGCAGGCTGCATTGAGGAATGCTGTCTCGAAAAAGAAAGTGGACAGCACCTGAAACACGCCTGACGTTGACCTCTGGCCTGCACACACACGTTCACATACGCACAGTCGCCTGACGC